AATAATAATAATAATAATAATAATAATAATAATAAATAATTCCCATTGTCCAAGACACTAGACACTTCTGGTCAGGTCAGTCACACTTGCACTACAAAGCACAGAATTTAGTGAATTTATCTGGACAGCATTCCTTTTTTTAAATTAATTTTTTATTATTAGTCATACATTAAATTGCTATATCATGTAGATTGTGAAGATACTTTACCCAGCATGATATAGTATTGGCTGAATCTGGCTTTCTATTAAACCTAAGGCGTTTTACTCTTCCCGTAAAATCTGAGACACGGTTACTTAAGTCGCGTGTACAATTATTGAACGTGTGTTATGTGCACGGCGCCATGTGGGGTTCTGAGGTGAAGCGTGATGGCCCTGCCTTCTGGGAGCAGGCAGGTGAGCAGAGTTAGAGCCCTCGGAATAGCTGACACTGAGGAGGGCGGAAGAGGTCAATGAAGGACGCTGACCACGCGCCTCTCGAGCCAGGCACAAGGACGTAAGAAAGAGCAGGATCCGGCGCCTGGCTCAGTAACGCAGGCCGTCACTGACTGGGCGCCCGCTCTCCATCCAGCCCGCGGCCAAACACTTCTATGTGTGTTTTCCAGCTTAGTTCTGACAACAACCGTGTGAGGCATTACCATTATTTTGTAGTTGAGGAAACAGGTCTAGAGAGGATAAGGTCCCATCCCAAACTCAAGTGCACTTGTCACACTCAAGCCGTTTCTGACAACTGCTGGACTGTGTCACTCTAATGTAGTAGGACAGGTTCTGTTGTGTTCTGGCTTTGTGGGGTGTGTGTGTGTGTGTGTGTGTGTGTGTGTGTAGGGTTATTAGACAAGTCTCACTGTCACAGTCCTGCTTCAGCCTTCTGGGTCACTGGGACTACAGCACGTGCCCCCTCACCTGGTTTGTCCAGACCAAGTCCTGCAATGTTGCCCACACTGGCCCCAAGCTCACAGTCCTCCTGCCTCAGCCGAAACACGAGCTGCGTGCTGCTGCGCCCAGCGGCTTAGGGTGGGCTGCTGAGCAAGCCAGGCCTCCCATGTAGCCCCGGCCAACTGAGTAGCAGCACCCAGAGCGTGTTCCAGTCGCTGCGTCAGTCGGGGAGAGGTCTGTGTTTGTTTTTATTACAAGAGGGGGTGTGTGCTTACCCGAGAGAGACAGAGAAAGAGACGGCAAAAGCATCCCCAAAATGGGATGTGGTCATTCCACAATCCCTCCTCAGTTTCTCTGTCCTGCCAGGACTTGGGGCACGCGCACACATGCAGACCTCGTATTTTTCAAGCCTCCAGGGTTGGGATTCCACAGCCATATAAGATCTGGTTCCCTTAACCACTAGCCACGGCATCAGCCAGGGGAGAGTTTACTGAAGAACAAACTTAGCATAACCTGAAGCAAACCGTGGGGGTTACAAGAAAAACAGAAACCAGGTTCACAGAGGCTGCCAAATCTCCCATTTGCTGGGAAATAAAGCAAGATGGCTTCATGCATTGTAAGAGCTCTGCAAATACTTTCTGATATCCCTGGGTAAAGTGATGGAATCTTCGCTGTGGCTGTACCTTCTTTTCCCGTATTCGACTCATCTTCACTTTCCTAAAAATTGAGGGCAGTGGGCCCGTAGGTAGTGTGGTAGTTAGGGTGGCTGTATCCCACATGGCTGGCTACATGGTTCGAGTCTCAGACCTGGCCACTTCAGGAACACCAGGTATGTGTGTGTGTGTGTGTATGTGTGTGTGTGTGTGTGTACCCAAAATCCTAAGGAGAAATGAAGGAGAAGGATTACAGGGTGGCCATCACTTCAGAGGAGGGGGTGCTTTCTCACTTTCCCTCACCCTTTCTTTCCCTGTTTCCCTCCAGCAAGTGCATGCACCCTCTAGCCATTAAAAAAAAAAAAAATCAGAGGCAGTTTTTAATGACACTTGGTTTAGCTATAACCAGCTTGTTCTGACTTCGGTGCCAAGTGGTCCTAGGAGTGCAGTTGGCCAAGGTGCTGCCTGGGGGCCATCTTACCCCACAGTGGGTGAGGTGAGAGTGGTCTGGGCTTGCTGAAGTGGCTGGGCTCAGTCCCTCCTGTCATGTGTTTTAGAGGCCCCACTGGCTTTCACCAGCCTGCCGGATCGCAGCATTATGACAGATCTAAAGGATCCAAGGGTTCCAGCCAGCCGTGTCACCCCGGAGAGAATTCCAGAGGTCCACCACATTTCCCAAGATCCTTTGCACTACAGCATCGCGTCAGCTTCAGCCGTTCAGAAGATCAGAGAACTGGAGACCATAATTGCCGTAGACCCAGGTAAGAAACAAGGCACTCATGCCTTAATGACCCGCAGACATCTTCCTAGATGTGATGTTCACTAAAACACGCAGGATGCAAGCTGCACTCACAGTGAGATGCTTTAAATGTTTATATACCATGTGTGAATCCCCACAGCTGCAGCAGTGCATCAGAACGCCACATTCTGGTCTCTGGGTAATGGTATTATGGGTGATCTTTTTTTTTTTTTAATGGCTAAACATGTGAAGGAGTTTCATTAGTTTATTAGCTGGGCACATGGCCACATAGAACCAAATGAGTTTAGGTAGGTAAGTAAAAAAGGAGAGAAGGGACCAGCAGATGGCGTAATGGTTATGTCACCGGACTCTGATGTAGCGAACTGCAGTTTGAGTTCTGGACCCAGCAGCTCAAAACTCACTGGTACCAGGCGTGTGTACATGAGCACCCAAAATCCCAAGAAGAGAAAGGAGGAGAAGGGATTGCAGTGTGGCCACCCACCCCACCACCCCAGTAGGGGTGATTTCTCGCTTTGTGTCTCACTGTCTCTCCAGTGAGTGCATGTGCCGTATAGCAAAAATCTCTCAAAAAAAAAAAAGAAAAAGAAAGAGAGAATGACAACTGTCATCACTTCTAAAAAGTCATGTATGTATTCACTCATGTCTCTGATTTTCTCCTTTTGTGCCATTGTCCTGAAGTTGGGCATAGAATAGGGCCCTGGGCAGCAGGGGTGGGAGTGGGTTGCTTCTCCTCGGGGGGTGCCTGGAGCAGGACCCTGCAGCTACAGCCTCACTGCAGTGTGCAACCAGCCCGTCCCTTATATGCTGCGCTTCGGTGCAAAGGACAGCACTTCTATGGTTTGCGAGCCACCAGGTTTCAGGACGTGGCACAGACCAGGTGGGGTTTGCTGATTCCAATTAGAAAGTGGTTTGCTGAACACTGCTTGAGGGAATCTTCCTTCTTTTTCTTTAGACAGGGTTTTACTGTCTTGGTCCTTCTGCCTCAGCCTCCCAAGTAGCTGGGACTGTAGACCATGTGGGCCTTCAGAGTGGGCCAGGAATTGAACCTGGGCTTCCCAAATGGTCCGACCCTCCACAGTGGAAGCATTTACCCACATGCACCACCATGGCTGGGAGAGCAGCTTTTAACTTCCAGCTGCATCTTCATATAAGAGTCAAATTCATTTTTTTTTTTAATGTTATTCATTGTCATTGTTTTATTTATTTATTTATTTATTTATTATTTATTTTTAAGTTGACCAGAGAGAGACAAGAGAGAGAAAAGGAGACTGAGAAGGAAACTGCCAAGTCTGGGACTTGAACCACGGTCAGCTATCTGGGAGTCCAACCACCATAGCCACCATGCCACCTGCTGGCCCTTAAGAGCCAAATTTCTAATCCTAGCAGAGAGCTCTGTTTCATGCGTGGTAAACTCAGCGCATTTGTGGGCACTCGTGAGAGAATGCCAGAGTAGACTCTGCCACAGTTTCCTCCTCACGATACCAGGAGAACTAACAATGATTAACAATGACTCCTCCCTCTGGGAGTTGTAATAGCTGTCAGGTACTGCATTTTGTTCTGTGCTGGGCTTCATGCAAACATCATGTCCCTGGCGTAGTGATTGTGTCTCTTCCCACATAGTCAACCATGGTTCAAGTCCCGGACCCAGCCTTAAAACTCATGCTATGTGTGTGCGTGAGTATCTAAAATCTCAAGAGGAGAATGGAGGAGAAAAGATTGCGGTATGGCCATACCCCACCCCTGAGGGTGATGATTTCTTGCTCTCGGTCTCTCTATTTCTCTCTGTCTCTCCAGTGAGTGCACACACCCTATTGCAAAAACTTCTTTTTTAAAAAAAATGTAAAAAGCATGTCATGTTTTATCTTATTAAATTCTCCTGGTAACCCTGTGAGCAGTTATTATTAGCTTAATTTAACATGGAAAAACGAAGCATATGAGGTTAAGAAACTTGCCCAAGTCCGTATGGTCAGGGCAGAACTTGAACCCATGTCAGCTGACTCCAAGGCTGATGACTGATAAATGTTGGCTAAATTAGTCTGCCACAGTCTGGTTCAGCCCCTCCTGGCCGGCATCCCAGTTCCTCGTCTGCCCCTTATTCTGGGCTGTGATTTAAAACCTGGAGTACCACCCGTCCTTTGTACCTCGTGTGGAGAAGGCATAGGTGGCCTACCCAGCTCCTGTTTCTACAAAGCTACCTGGATTGATGATGGTGCAGCTCGTGTGGTGAACAGAGGGCTGAGGCAGCCAGCCTGGGGAGGTGACCTTTCAGTCCCCAGGATCCAGACAGACTGGTCACACAGCTGTTTAAAGAGGACAGCACCCGGGCAGGGCTCTAGGAAGAGCAGCAGCTGGAGGTCCTTCTTGTGTTATTAGCCAACCCCGTGACAAAGGATTTGATAGTGCAGACCAGCTTGAAAATGTCTGGTCCTCGGGGCCAGCAGATGGTGTGGTGATTAAGGCTCTGGACTCCCACATAGCTGACTGCAGTTCAAGCCTTGCACCTGGCAGCTTGAAAATCACGCCAGGTGCACGTATGTGTTTGGGTGCCTACAATCCCAGGAGGAGGAGAGAGGAGAAGGGATTCTGGTGTGACCATCCCCCTTGGGGGGCAATTTCTTGCTTTCCTTCTCTGTCTCTCTCCAGTGAGCACACACCCTACAGCAAAAACAAAACGGCAACAACAAAAAATGTGATCCTTTCTTCTGGGGCTGGGGGCAAAGTCTGTCCTCCCATGACAGGGGGTCTGCAGTTACCCAAACTTCTGTGAAACCACAGGGCTCTTTGCATTTTAGTTGTCTTGTTTGGTTGTTCATTCATTCACGAATTCCTCCTATAGAGAATGTGGTTTCCTTTACATACAAACACGTAGTCATTTCTGGACACACGCCCACCACAGATGCACCGTCTGGGCTGTAGGCATGTGTGGAGGTGAGTGTTCATGGTTTGGTATGTGTAGTCTCTTACATAGGGCATTGTTCATTTTCCATAAGACTTTCTCTCTCACAGACATTCTTCTTACCCAGATCGATGACCCTCCCACTTGGCATGAGGGTCATGAGAGATGATGAATGATTAACTCTGCTATTAGCTTAGCATTAAAACAAACAAAAAAAAGTAATTGAGAAGTAAATTAACTGTAGACGCAGGACACCCATCCCCTAATGCAGACCGAGAGGTCGTCTACACCACCATTCTTCAGTGCTCGTAGACTGTCTGCAGGAGGCTCAGGGGGAGGGCAGACTCATGACTGGCTGATGTCCCTGTATCATCTGTAAAGGGATATCTTTTTTTTTTTTAAGAATATGCACTTAATTCCATTTGTTGTTATTATTTAATTTGACCAGAGCAAAACAGAGAGAGAGAGAAAGGGAAAGCGCAGAAACAAGGGGCCGACCTGCAGAGCGTGGTGTTTCACCGCTGTGCCGCCACCCAGCCCCCATTTTCCCCATCTCTGACTTGCACTTCCTGACATTGTCTCCCACTGAGACATCTGCGCCACGTCCTTGTCTGAGGGTGTTTTGTTGGGTAATCCCCAATGAAGACAATACCATTTCCTTTTCTCCTCCTATAGACCCTGTGTTCATTAGGATCTGCTAAACCGCCTTCATAATAAGCCTCAAGATGCTTTGCTCCGATACAGTTGGGACCGAGGCCTCACACATCCTAGGTGGGCCTTCTAGGGTAGGAAAGAGGATGTGCTCAAAGCAGCCACTTGAGGGCCCAGCCACTCTGGCTCCCTTTCTATAACTCCCAGGGACTTGAGCTGTCCACATTCCACACCCAGGACATGGGGACGAGCTCAGAGGAGTGCACGGGGTGCGGCCAGGCCTGGGGTGACACAGAGCACTTTCTGTCATGTTCCACGAGGGAGGACCCGGGCTAGTGGCCACACCTAACTGTAAAGGAGGCTTTTCGGCCCTTTACCCAGCTGCGCTTCACCACTGGGTCTGGGGGGAGTTCATTCTGGTGAACAACTCACAGTCCCTGCTACAGCCCTTGCACTGACTTCTTTTTTTCTTTATTTCTTTATTTCTTTTTTTAAGAGAGATTTTTGCTATAGGGCACATACACTCACTGGAGAGACAGACAGAAAACGATAAATCACCCTCCCAGAGGAGATGGCCACACTGCAATCCTTTCTCCTCCATTCTCCTCTGGGGATCTTGGGTACACATGCACCCAATCTGATTTTTAAGCCTCCGACTCTGGGTCTTGAACCTCGGGAGTCCAGCAACATAAGCATTACACTATCTGCTGGTCCTCCTTGAATTGATTTCTTAAAAAACGAACAGGCCTCTCGCTGTGGTGCAATTGGTAGCATGCTAGACCGTGGGGCTGGATCCTCTGTGCTGACCACGGTTCAAGTTTAGCTGGTCATACTGGAAACATTTGGGGGGTGTGCATGCAAGTGCCCAGTGTCCCTGGGCTGGGGAACTGCAGGAGGGGCATTAGGATGTGACTAAGCCTGAAGGGGGTGCTCTTTTTCATATGTACATGCATGCTATATCAAAAATGACATAATAAAAAAGTAAAAAAGAAAACAAAAAGAAATGAAAAAGCCAAACTACTCTTAGCATAACTTTCTACTTTAAACAAAGTTACTTTACTTTATGATTTAATTTTGCTTTTATAATTTTAGGTAATCGGGGGATCGGGCACCTGTTCTGTAAAGACGAGTTGCTGAAGGCTTCCCTGTCACTGTCCCACGCCCGCTCAGTGCTCATCACCACGGGCTTCCCCACGCATTTCAATCACGAGCCTCCGGAAGAGACAGATGGCCCCCCCGGAGCCATCGCTCTGGCCGCCTTCCTGCAGGCCCTGGAGAAGGAGGTCCACCTGGTTGTCGATCGGAGGGCCTGGAGCTTGCACAAGAAGCTCACCGAGGACGCCATCGAGCAAGGTGAGCCGTGAGATGCTCGGTCTGTTTTCCCACACGTGGGTGAGTCCGCATTGTGGCACTCCTGTGGGGTGCCAGGCACAGGGCGACAAACTCTTGCACTTTGCTGAGAGCTCAGAAAAACTGTCATAAGCAGCAGTCCCCCACTTTATAGATGAGACTGAGGTTCTAGAGGTCCAGATGACCTACCCAGGCAGGAGTGATGAGCTGGAATGCGAACCTGAGCCCAGGAGACTCTTAAGCATGTGACCTCTCCTGTGCACCTGCTGCCCTCCCTGTGGGAGGCAGGAGTGACGTGCCAAGCACCGTCAGGAACCCAGGGGAGCCCTGGGCCACCGAAGCTGAGACAAGTAGTGGAGTCAAAGTGGTCGAAAGGCTCAGCCCAGCCCAGGAGGGCAGAGGGGACCTGGAGCACCAGGTGGGCATTGGGGCTGCAGGTGTTGGCCATGTGAGGCTGTGCTGCCACTGCCGGAGTGCTTGGCACTGGGCTCGGTGTGAACCAAAGCTCCTCGCCTCCCCTCCACCCTGCAGGAAGTGTCCCTCCCGTACACTGGAAGCCTGGTGAACTAACCTGCTTCCCTCTCTGTAGCTCCCTGTATCCCTCAGAATGAATTTTCCAGAACATTTTTTTTCCTTTAGCATTTTATAAAGGGTTTCAAGCCCTATAAGACACATCTCATGCCACAGATGTGTATTGAGCACCTACTACGTGCCAGGCACTATTCCAGGCTCTCAAGATTCGTTTGTGAGCAAGACTGATGCCAAGCCTGCCCTCCTAGTGCACGGCTTTTAGTGGAGCACTGCAGACAACAAACAGCATAAGAAACGTTAGAATAAAGTAGGTGATGATGCAATGGAAAAAAGTGGAACAGATCAGGGAATAGAGCCTGAGGGGCCTGGTGTGGAAGGCCCGCTGGAGGAGGTGACATTTGGAGTTGATGAGGCAGCCAGGTCTGGGCTCACTGAAGGAAGCGTCCAGGCTGTAGAAATGGTAGGGCCCTGTGGGTTTAAGAGAAGGCATCAGTCAGTGGACTGTGAATGAGGATGACAGAAGTCGCGTTAGGAGACAGAGAGCTAGCAGAGGTCAGATGGGGAGAGGCCTCCAGCTATGCGGTGAGCACTGGGCTTTCATTCTGGGTGACACAGGAGCCCCGGGAGTTCCCTGGGCACAGGAGGGCCGTGTTCAACCTCAGGCTGTGAAAGGTCACCAGAGACAAGGAAGAACAGGGACTACAAGGATGCTGAAAGTGGGAAGGGAGGGTGCCCCGACACCTCCTTCTGCCTCCCCTCTGATGTCAGCCACAGCTGGGGTGGGAATTCTGGGTCACGCTGACCTGACATGCCCAACTGCAAGCCAGTGCCCTGCGGGGCTCTCCAAAGCCACACGGAAGCACAGAGCTGGTGCCTCAGGGCGCCCTCGTGCATGGCCAGGTGGGTGAACCTGGAAACTGCTCTGAGTGAACTAAGTGTGGAACTAAGATCTTTCCATCATAAACGGACAACTATTGCATGTTTCCACTTGTGTGCGGTACCTGAAGTCGTCAGATCACAGGGACAGAGTAGGACGGGGATGCGAGGGGCTGGATTCGGGGCAATGGAGTGATGAGTGGCACAGAGGTTCGGCTCGGGGAGATGAAAGTTCTGGAAATGGGGGAGGGAATGCTGGTATGACCATGTCCATGTACCTGACCCCACTGGACTGTGCATCACAGATTTCAAAATACCTGAAAGGGAGCCAGCATGCAACGAGGTGGCTAAGGCGTTGGATCCCACATAGCCAGAGTCCTGGACCCGGCAGCTTGAAAAACACACTGGACGCATTCATGGGTGTGCCCAGAAATCTCATGAGGAGACTAGAGAAGAGATTGTGGCATGGCCATCCTCCCTGAGGGGTGATTTCTCACTTGCTCTCTCTGTCTCTCTGTCCCTCTCCAGTGGGTGCATGTGCTCTACAGCAAAAAAGAAAAAAAACTAAAATGATAAATTTTATATTATGTGTACTTGGCCACAATGAAATGTTTTTCAAAGGTGCAGATTTGAAGCTGAGGATGAGATGCCTGTCAGACGTGCAGCGCGAGGCCGAGGGGGTGGCCGGATGTACGACAGGCGTTCGTGAGTGCTGTCTGTGCTAGAAGGATGAACAGCAAGGCTGTTGGCATATTGATGGCCGCCAAGCCAAGACACCAATGAGATCATGACGGGAATAAGGGGACACGGAGCAAAGCACCAGGACTGTGCCCTGGGGCTCCCCGCATTAGGAGGGCAAGGCGCAGAGGGACGTAGCAAGCAGCAGGGACTGAGAAGGAGCAGCACTGAGAGCAGGGAAAAACCAGCCAGGCTGCCCTGAAGCAAAGGCTGTCGTCAGGCAGGAGGGGACAGCGATTGTGCCAATGCCACTCACAGGCGCACCGTCCCCACCTGACAGCTGCCTGGTGGGCATTTTTAGCCACCACTTTCCCAGAAGCAGCTCTGCCCTCCTGCCCCACAGACCGCTCAGCCTTGAGGTCACTGCCAGCCTCTCAGAGTGGGGACTCACCACATGGCGACTTACGGGGCGGAATTTGCTCTATCAGATTTGCAGAACTTTTCGCTACATTTAGATAAAGACAGTAAAAGCGATTTGGTCTTTTCATGAATAGTCCATTGAATCCTTTTTTCTTAAACAAATCTACAAGGATGCTGAAAGTGGGAAGGGAGGGTGCCCCGACACCTCCTTCTGCCTCCCCTCTGATGTCAGCCACAGCTGGGGTGGGAATTCTGGGTCACGCTGACCTGACATGCCCAACTGCAAGCCAGTGCCCTGCGGGGCTCTCCAAAGCCACACGGAAGCACAGAGCTGGTGCCTCAGGGCGCCCTCGTGCATGGCCAGGTGGGTGAACCTGGAAACTGCTCTGAGTGAACTAAGTGTGGAACTAAGATCTTTCCATCATAAACGGACAACTATTGCATGTTTCCACTTGTGTGCGGTACCTGAAGTCGTCAGATCACAGGGACAGAGTAGGACGGGGATGCGAGGGGCTGGATTCGGGGCAATGGAGTGATGAGTGGCACAGAGGTTCGGCTCGGGGAGATGAAAGTTCTGGAAATGGGGGAGGGAATGCTGGTATGACCATGTCCATGTACCTGACCCCACTGGACTGTGCATCACAGATTTCAAAATACCTGAAAGGGAGCCAGCATGCAACGAGGTGGCTAAGGCGTTGGATCCCACATAGCCAGAGTCCTGGACCCGGCAGCTTGAAAAACACACTGGACGCATTCATGGGTGTGCCCAGAAATCTCATGAGGAGACTAGAGAAGAGATTGTGGCATGGCCATCCTCCCTGAGGGGTGATTTCTCACTTGCTCTCTCTGTCTCTCTGTCCCTCTCCAGTGGGTGCATGTGCTCTACAGCAAAAAAGAAAAAAAACTAAAATGATAAATTTTATATTATGTGTACTTGGCCACAATGAAATGTTTTTCAAAGGTGCAGATTTGAAGCTGAGGATGAGATGCCTGTCAGACGTGCAGCGCGAGGCCGAGGGGGTGGCCGGATGTACGACAGGCGTTCGTGAGTGCTGTCTGTGCTAGAAGGATGAACAGCAAGGCTGTTGGCATATTGATGGCCGCCAAGCCAAGACACCAATGAGATCATGACGGGAATAAGGGGACACGGAGCAAAGCACCAGGACTGTGCCCTGGGGCTCCCCGCATTAGGAGGGCAAGGCGCAGAGGGACGTAGCAAGCAGCAGGGACTGAGAAGGAGCAGCACTGAGAGCAGGGAAAAACCAGCCAGGCTGCCCTGAAGCAAAGGCTGTCGTCAGGCAGGAGGGGACAGCGATTGTGCCAATGCCACTCACAGGCGCACCGTCCCCACCTGACAGCTGCCTGGTGGGCATTTTTAGCCACCACTTTCCCAGAAGCAGCTCTGCCCTCCTGCCCCACAGACCGCTCAGCCTTGAGGTCACTGCCAGCCTCTCAGAGTGGGGACTCACCACATGGCGACTTACGGGGCGGAATTTGCTCTATCAGATTTGCAGAACTTTTCGCTACATTTAGATAAAGACAGTAAAAGCGATTTGGTCTTTTCATGAATAGTCCATTGAATCCTTTTTTCTTAAACAAATTATTTTATTTACCTTTATTTATTTATTTTATATTTGACCAGAGATGAACAGAGTTAGCGAGAGAGAAAAGGAAAATGAGGAAGCAACCCACCAGGTCTGGGACTCAAATCATGATCAACTCTGTGGGAGTCCAGCACCCTTAAGCACCATGTCACCTGCTGACCCCCACTTCAGTCCTTTTTAGTAAAGTCCAGAAAATGTTTTAAAGAAAAATGACAGAATCAGTTGCTCCCTGCCTTGAGTCGAAACCAATTGACGGCCTTTCTTTGTAGTCAGGGTGGGGACCTGGTCCCTTGCAGAGGCCCTCGTGTGTCCTTTCTCATATGGGTGCCCACTCTGGGACATGCTATGGCTCGCTGGGACCCTCCTTGGGCTCCTATTAGGTTGTCATGGCTTTTCCGATGACCAACATATCCTTGATTGTGGTTCAAGGAAGTAAGAGTCGGTCTAGATAGCACGTGTCTATGCCAGCTCCCAGCCAGGTGCTGAGCCAGGCCACGTCATCACGCCCTCATGGCAATCCTGAGAGCCGGGCATCATGAACCCCCACCTTGCAGAGGAGCCCACAGTCGTGTGGCTGGGAAGCGGCACTGAGAGCTGCACCCAGTCTTGGTTGGCTCCGAGTAGAGGGTCCCCAGGCTGCCTCTCCCAGCACAGGGAGGGGCTGCGGCTTTAGCCTGACCACCTCAACCCCATCTTCTGGCTTACTGCTTCACCTGTAGCATGTGCCCCTGAGCATCCCCTGAAGGACCTGCCGCCATCTACTGGCCTTTCCCCCAGTAGATGGCTGGGGAGGGAGGGAGTCCCTGAGGACCTCTGGATTCTTGCTCCTCACCTCGGTTGGCCCCACCCACTCATGGGGGTGGCAGTGATGGCTCCCGAAGGACTTGGGCCTGGTAACATGGTGGGAGCACGCATCTGGAGGGGCACTCCATTACGAACAGATGGTTTACCAGCCGCTGTGCTTCCCTGGGTCGGCTATACAAGAGGAGTGTGATGGGCTGATGATGGAGATGGGGTGGTCAGAGTCCCCAGGCTGCCTCTTGGTGCCCCGTCCCCTACACCCCGGGCCATGGAGCAGCAGGCCCACCAGGACCTGGATGGGAGATCCTGGACCCTCTGCCTCTGGCTCTGTGTGGAGAGGACTTCACCCTGGGCTGGTGAGCGCTCCAGGATTCTACCCCAGACAGCTGAGGCAGATGAACAAGCAAAACCAAGTTTATTTAATTAGTGGATTTTTGTGGATTTTCCACATATTCTACAATATGTATTATTTTTGTCATTTGGAAAGATGCTTTTTTAAAAAATCCAATTCACTTTGCAAAACTCTCCAATAGCAGTAGCTAAGCCAAGGCTCAGATTCTGGAACTTAACCTTATCATTTAAAAAACTAATTATTTATTTATTATTATTTTTTAATATTTATTCATTATCATTATTTTTAATTTGACCAGAGGAAGACACACAGAGAGAGAGGGTAAGTGAAAAAGCAAGCTGCCAGGTCCAGGACTTGAACCATGGTCAGTCATGTGGGAGGCCAGCACCTTAACCACCATGCCACCTGCCAACCCCTTGGTTGTCTTTAAACTCCCTGAAGGTACGCAGGAGGTGTGTTTTGCGGCAGGGTGGGGGTAGGTGAGAATTTGGGGTGAGAACTAGAATTATAACAGTGGCCTTGCCCAAGCATCTTTGATTTTCCTCTTCTATAAAATGGGAACAAGAGCCGTTCTTGTGGCACAAAATTGCAGAATTAGGTGAGAGCGTGCATGACAAGCATTTAGCAGAGGGCTGGCACACCATCACCGTGGGCACGTGAACGTGTTCCCAGCGCTCGGAGAGGCAGTGGGCCAGAATAGGCCTCCGTCCCCATGCTGATAGAGGCAGGTTTCACATGGTATGTCTGCTAGTTCACCCTAGCCACGTCCACCCCACCCCTGTCAACCGAGAGTTTACTCGGAACCAAAAGGGAACTTAAGTTTCTTCTACGCCATCGTTTTGTCGCACCTCACAGTGTTTTACAAATAGACGTCATTCAACAACAGCAATGATACGCTCCAAAGGAACTTGTGAAAAGTCAACATGAATTTCCAAAACACGGTACTGGGCTGTTGTGTTCACCCTTGGCCTTTATTTTCCAGGTGTTCTGAAGACACCGATCCCGATATTAACTTACCAAGGTGAGACCATGGAAGCTGCTCAGGCGTTTCTGTGCAAAGATGGGGACCCCAAGTCACCCAGGTATGTAGTTCAAGTAGGGAAGCCCACAGGCTCTTCATTTTGCTAGTGGAATCTCTGCAGCCCCCTCCCCCCAGCCCTTCAGTGAGAACAGAGCCATGAGCCCAGGTAGACCGGGGTCTGATGGACCAGACCAGCACAGGAAGCGGGGGCATTTCAGGTGTACTGAGGGCTTCGCATCTCTGGAAATAGTGGGGCCCTGGTTAGCAGGGATCGATGTCTTCCCAATAGCAGGAGGAGATACGGGACCAGCAATTAGCGTAATGGCTGTCACTGGACTCCCATGTAGTCGACCGCAGTTTGAGTCCCAGACCCGGTGGCTTAAACTCACGCCGGGCCCGTGTGCATGAGTGCCCAAGATCCCGAGAGGAGAATGGAGGAGAAAGGATTGCAGCATGGTCATCCCCCCTGGGGGGGTGATTTCTCGCTTTCTGTCTCTCTGTCTCTCTCTGTCTGTCTGGCGAGCGCACGCGCCCTATAGCAAAACCCTTTCCAAAAAAAAAAAGGAGGAGGTAGAATTACTAAAAACCGGGACTGGCAGATGGCATAGCAGTTACGTTGCTAGACACCCACGTGGCCAGCTGTGGTTTGAGTACCAGACCTGGTGGCTTGAAAATCACGCCGGGCACATGTGCATGGGTGCCCAAGATGCCAGTTGGAGGAGAATGGAGGAAAAGGGATTTGGGCGTGGCCATCCCCTGGTTGGGGGGGTGGGGTTCCCCTCTGTCTCTTTCTCTCAAGTGCACATGTCCTAAGGCAAAAACCTCTAAGAGATGGCCTGAAAACCTCTGGATGAGTAGGTCTTTTTTTTTTTTTTTTTTTTTTGAGAGATTTTCACTGTAGGGTGCGTGCGCTCGCCAGACAGACAGAGAG